TTTGATCATGTGAAGCGACTCCGGGGTCGGGACATTTGACTTTCACCGATAGAAGCCCGGTATCAATTCAGAAGCGGTAAGCAAGTCCGTCCCTCCAGGCTTTCTGAAAGTCACGCTGTTCGAGAAAGTCATAAAGTTTTCACTTGTTTTAATCGCCATAATCTGATACTTAACATATACACTGTCATCTAAACAGATGTCTATTTTGGGAAAGTTTTTATCTTCAAGTTCCCATCTGATTGTAAATCTCGATTGAAATCCAATTCTACCATGAAAATCAGAGGACTTTTTACAGGTCACTGATCCGACCTGTTCCGACATCTTGAGCCGATGTTATAAAGAATTTTACGTTTCATTAATATAACAGCACGGTCAATCTTCCTGGAGTGATTATGTTGTTCAAAATAAGATACTAGTGGAGAGAGAGAATACTTTATTACAGCGAGTAATTTAACGGAGCTTACGTTAACCTTAAATAAAAGAAGTAAAAAAACTTTTAAAATGTTCTTTCATTCGTTTTATATAATATTATAGTATTGTTTGTTTAGATTTTTCCCCTGGGGTGGGAGCTTTTTGGACACTTGATTGACCTTTCATTTCCCACCCTGGGGAATTTGATCAAAAAATTGTAAAATTTATCAAATCCCCACCTTTTGCCCGCACTACCCCCGCCCCCTCCCCACGGGATTTACATTGATAGGTGTATAACTGTAGCAATATTTTACACAAACAGTAACTGTTCATGAATAAAACACTGCATGAAAAATAAAGTGGCACAGACAAAACAAAAGAGCTGGTAATAGCTGTTGACTTTACACAGCAACCTCCCAAGCTGCGACAATTTTAGTAGGCGTGGTGCCTAAAAGTTTGGAGCTGGCGACTTGATTTGTCAAAAAGTCTCCCTAAGCCAAAAGGGTTGGTTGTGAAATGGTGGCTGAGCAAAAACTTTAACTTGGAGGGCTGCACAGGTACAGTACAACCCAGTATGGACTCGCACTTTAGCACACACCTGAATGTGTATAACATACACCCTTCAGTTGTTGCAGGAAAATGCTCATACGTTTTGTCTAAATTAAATTTTCATGCTTCAGAAGAAAACATGTTAATTCTCACAACACACCCTTTTCTATATCCCAAGCCACAAAGTTTCACATATTGTGACCCCTGTTTTACAGACACTGGTTAACTGCAAAGAATCTATTTTCATCTTCAAAATAACATAAATCATAAGATGTCTATGTTACCCTCGACTGTTTGAAGCACTTATTTTGATGTTGTCCTTCATTTCCATGATAACAAGTTCTCACGCTTTGAATTTACCTAAATTTAATCATAGTGTTTGTTTCTGCCTATTTCTTACCTTTCTCAAAAAAGCAATGAAACAAACATCCCCAATTTTTTAAGGCAGAAAAGTGAACGCAGCTTCATCTTCAAACAATAGACATTAATTTTGATTTGTTTCACGTTGAAAACAAAAAGCCAAGAAACAAACAAGTGGAAAACAGAAAAAAGGCAAATTGAAAAATATATTGTAGCCTTCTTACCTTGCAGGATTAACATGGGAGTGCTGTTTTGGCACCAAAGCTGCAAGAACAGTGAATACAAGTTGATTTGAAATCCCACCTGTCACAATTCTTGGGTAATTCGAATACTGTACAACCAGGCTTATGGGAGTTTCTAATTTGCTCAGAAATGATAAAACACCAAGTATGTCTACTATCTCCCAAGAAAAAGTTACCACGTCAATGCAGAAATTAAATAAAATTGAGCAACGTATAAAGAAGCTCCACTCCTTAATAAGATTTGTGCTTGAAAAAATTCTAGAAAGGCATTTTTATATGCCAAGTCCATGTCAATATTCAAGACATCTTCTGTTATCCTTCATTAAAAACAACTGAAACTAGCTAATCTCGTTTTCAAACACATAATTGGCTATTGAACAAAAGCACATCAGACAACATTTTTGTCATGCACTGCAAAGTGCCTGATCAATCCCAGCTCAACATCAAAAGAGAGCTTGACAATACTCATAGGTTAGAAAATTTTAAACAGGTAGAGTATGCTATAAACAATTCTTCCTTTAGACTGAGCAAACATTACATTTGCCGATTGAGACTTTCTTAATGAGGCTGATCAATGTGTTTCCTGTCCATTCTAGCATTGATTTCCTGTGGTTTTCGTCATGAAGCAGAATTTGACCTCTCAAGAAATTTAGGGATTCTTTGACCTCTTTTGAACAAGAAAAATTTTTTTACACCTAAATCGCCATTGAATAAAAGTTTTAGTTTCTAATGTTTAAAGTAACTACCGAATACCCTGCCTGTATCTTAAATAACTTTCAAGATGTAATTCTTTTTATCCATGACTTGATTGTTACACTTCACCTGCCTCGTTTGCAGATCAGTTTCCTATTATACCACTCTTCCTGATTTGGTAATCAAATCGTTCCAACAAAGGTGACAAACAAAACTAAGGAGCATTCAAAATTCATAAGAAATAT